ACTCCGACCAAGGTCGAAATTTTACATAAAATCTGTTCGAGAAAATGAGTCAGTTGCTGGGAGTTGTGAAGACCAGAAACCACATTTTTGCAACCTCCGTTGGATGGAATGGTGGAAAGATTCAAGCGAACTTTAACATCTTCGAATTGTTGTTAATAAATATCAAAATAACTGGGACAACTATATCCAACTCTTCCTTCTTGCATATATAAATTCTATCTTTGGGTCGACAAGCGAATCATTAGCGAAAGTTTTATTTGGGAAAGAGTTACGGCTTCCTGCTGATCTATTATTTGGAACTCCTGAACTCCGAGAAGAATATAACGACAGCTACACTCAAAATTTATCTGAAATTCATGTGAAGTTTCGAGAACATTTGATAACGGAGAGCGATAGGATGAAAACTCAATATGACAGACAAGCTTACTCTACCGGTTCAAGGAGGGAGATTTAAATGTGTTTATATAATCCAGTACCTTAAAAGGAGCAATGTACAAAGCTACAGAAATCATGGTAAGGTCCGTATTCCGTGGCAGCCCGAATAAATGATATTATCTACCAAATCAAACGACCAAGAACAAAAATAAAGATCGTAAATCTGCATCGGTTGGCCCCGTATCGAGGGGACAGTGGACTGGCAGGGTCGTCACTCTAAAGGAGGGGCAATGTTACGATTTACAATCGAGTGACAGCTGTTGGTATTTGGAATCACTCTTAAACCAGAAGTGTCATGGGATGACATTTTTTATAGAATGTACGCGAGAACAGGTGAGGGTCGAGATGGTTTGTCAAATGAATTAATTTTTGAATGTCAGTTAGTTCAGTATTTTATATATTTTTAAAAAAGTTTGAGTTCGTGAACTAGATTTTTCAAGAAAACCAAGGTACATATTCTAGAACATTGCGATTAGTCCATCTCTATTCATTACTGCGTTGTATGTTCTAGAATACCAAGCTCACTATTTCGATCACCGACATCACCGTATCTTGTGTAATGCCTCGGTCGCTATTTCTGACGTTGTGAAGATTCTTGTATATGAGTCACCTTTGACTAATTGCGTCCAATATAAGGAATGCATCTAAACATGCCGTATATACATTTAGCACCTAGGACTTTTCTATCGGTCCTTCGGGGCACGTGGCCATGCTTTAACCAATAGGTGGCGAGGTGCCAAAATCTTATATGGAATATTACTTTGGTGCAAAATTCATATGCGAAATGTTACATATTCGTAGACCAAAAAAGACGACTTTTTATTAGAATCAGTTAAAAGGAGACTGACTTTAATATATTTGTAATATATGATTAAAAAAAACTAAAACAATGCAATAGAAAATAAAACAAAATATTATATTTAAATAATTTATAATGAAAAATTTCAAATTTTTAAAATGTAATATTTATGCGAAATTCAATGTCCTTCGCCATGTTAGTACCTAATAAAAGCGTACATTGCAATTTGAAAAAATTCAATTGTTTTTCGTTACCCATTTATTTTTTTGTAATAAAAACAACTGTTAAATAACTTTTGTACGAGGCATGTTTTTTAAGTAAGTAGGTACCGTTTTGCGATTCCGCCGCCGCAGCGCTACGTTCCGCACATGAGCGCTAATTACCTACATCTCTTGTATACGCACTGACGCCATTACAGTCTGATTCTTCATTGTATACTTGTTTACACCAGTGTTTAAGATGCCTCCAACAATCGTGAGTCACGCAGATTGTGAAGTACGGGCTTATACGATTTCTTAGTGCTAAAGGCGTAAAACCGATTCCTCGTGAGATCGTTGAAGTTTACGGACAAAACAATATGAGTGATGGAATGGTAAGGAAATGGGTGAGAGCATTTAAAGATGGCCGCACAAATGTGCATGATGAAGAACGGCGTGGCCTTCGGTCGTTAATGAAAATTTGGTGCAGAAAGTGGACGAACAGGTGAGAGAAAATAGACGCTTTACAATTTCATCATTGTCCGACTGCTTTCCTCAGTATTCTCGTAGTGTTTTTTATCGCATTGTTACCAAGAACTTGAATTACCGGAAATTGTGTTCACGTTGGGTTCCAAAAATGTTGACAGATTTACACAAAACCCAACGTTTAGGCAGTGCATTGACTTTCCTTGAGCAGTACCACAGTGAAGGTGAAGATTTTTTTTGACCAAATTGTTACTGGTGACGAAACGTGAGTGGTATACGTCACACCAGAATCGAAACAACAATCCATGGAATGGCGACATTCATCGTCACCCAAAAGAGTGAAGTTTAAGCAAACAATTTCTGCCCGGAAAATCATGTGCACAGTTTTTGGGACAGAAAAGGAGTATTGCTAGTGGAGTTTCTGCCTCGTAATGAGATAATCAATGCAGCATCTTATTGTGAGACATTGAAAAATCTGCGTCGTGCAATCCAGAACAAAAGACGTGGCAAGTTGAGTAAGGGTATCGTTTTGCTGCATGACAATGCCCGTCCACATGTGGCTAATCAGACCAAAGATCTTATCAAATCATTTAAATGGGAAACTCTAGATCATCCTCCATACGGCCCTGATCTGGCGCCCAGCGACTACCATTTGTTCCTGCACTTGAAGAAACACCTGGGCGGTCAGCGTCTTCAAGACGATAACGAAGTCAAAACATTTGTGATGCAGTGGTTAACAAGTCAGGCGGCAGAATTTTATCAGGAGGGTATTCAAAAACTGGTGCCACGTTATGACAAGTGCCTCAATATTCACGCAAATTATCTAGAAAAGTAGATTAAAGTTCAGGCTTTCATGTAAAAATAAAATTATTGCTATATCTTTGCACGTCTTTTTTTAATTCCAAACCGGTACTTACTTAAAAAACACGCCTTGTATATACATTTTTTTGTATATAGTCGTTATTTACCGAGATATATACTATATTCCATACATAATAGGAAATATCGATATTGCATTTATTTAAGGACGGTTTGCTAGGTATTATGACAGTAAACTTATATAGCAAATTCAGAAATTAATCCAAAATATCGTACAGTGTAGCATTGGCATAATATATGGAGAATTGAACATTTAGGTAAAATTACTGAGCATTTCGTTTTTTTTTTTTTAGAAAATTAAAAAAAAAATTGAGGTTTATGAAGCAGAAGGAATTTTAGTCAAATATAATGAAAACCCGTTTGCCGTCATTATTATAACACCTATTATGCAACATACATACAACCTTTCATTTGCAAAAGATGTTGTTTTTACAGATACCACAGCTTCAGCGATGTATTAAACCATTCGGTTTCATTTATGTTAACCACTTGTGAAATAGGAGCAGTGTATTTGGCAGTTATTATTACCAAAGGTCAAACAATTCAAGATTAAACTGCAGCATACGAACTGCTCAAAGGATCGATACCAAATGCCTTCGGTGGAATGAGTTATCCTAAAATATTTATTACAGATAATAATGACGTGGAAAAAAAAGAATCAAAATGTGTTTGGCCAGTATCACAAACACTTTTATGCCGTTTTCATATATGACAATCAATTTGAAGTTGGCTGTGTGAAAAAAGGAATAAAATATCCCAAGACGAACGACAACTTTTATTCAAGACATTTCAAGTTATATTATTAGCATCGATTACAGAGAATGCCACAGAGTCATTTAAGATTATTCTTCAAAACCAATGATTTCCGCAGTGGAAGAAACATTACTAAATATTAGAAAAGAAAGGAAGATTGGTGGCTCGCTTATAGGGACGCATAAATATATGGCCACCAAACCAACAATTTCAGTGAAATAGCAGTAAGTATTTTTAAAGACATAGTTCTACATGGAAAACAAAGCTTTAATAGACTTTATCTATGCTGTCTTAGAAGAATATTATAGAAGACGGCTTCGACATTTCGCAAATAGTAGAGATACAGCTCCAAGATTACTGTTTACAAAGTTCCTAGTTAGCAAAATAATAGTGTGCTTTACGAAATCGATATAGGAACAGAATGTTGCAGTTGCCTAATTGGAAGATTGTGTGCTTTTTGCAAGCATTAGGCTTCGATTGCACACTTTTTTAATATACCTTTTTGCAACATTCCAGCTACTAATCCTGAAGGTGGATCCGAAATTAGCTTTTGGCAAAAAGTTAAACTTTTCATATTTTATAGCGAGCTTGCAAGGTCCAATAAAAGTATTACAGAACAATATATTAATAACAGCATTGATAACAACAGATGAAAATAATATTAGGGAATATATTATTTTAATCAAAAATAAAACAGCTGAACAACAAGAATTTCCTTTTGCAGATTTTATTAGAACGCTACAAGAAAAAATGTCACATTTGGAACTGATTTATTAATGTTAAAAATATTGCACGAAAGATTATCCCATATTAAAATAAAAACGGCTGGGGAAAGTTTTTTAAACACGGCAGGAAGTTTCTCGGTAAGGTGATTTGAACACAATGCCAATATAAGAATGCTACCAACTTCAATCAGCCGAAGAAATTTCTGATTTACTTAAAAACAGATTATCATTTGGACGACCACCTAAAGATGAACCTTCTAAAAAAAGGTTAAAAAGGCGTCACAATCTTTCATACAACATCGCAGCAAATCAAACAAATGCAACTAAACATGGCGAAGGATATTTTATTTTGCATAGGTATTACTTTTTAACCATTTACAAATTTTTATAATTTATTTAAATATATTTTTTTTCTATTGCATTGTTTTAGTTTTCTTTAATCATACATTACAAATATTTTAAAATCAGTCTTCTTTTAACTGATTTTAATAAAAAGTCCTTTTTTATGGTCTACTAATATTTAACATTCCGCATATAAATTTCGCACCAAACATTCCATATATGTGTTTGGAACCTCGGCGCCTATTGGTTGAAATATGGCAGCGATGCTCAAAGGACCAATAGAAAAGTCGTAGGTAAATACATTTACAGAATGTTATATGCATACGGGATACGTTGAAAATAAGCTTTTTACTTACAGTATACTCCTTGAATATTTCTTTTTAGATGCCTGTTTTATACCCTACGATAAAGGTACTAAACGTTGCCAAAAATTTGAAGGAAATTATTATTTTGATGTAAGTAGTGGATTATGTAAAACGTTTTGGTACACAGGATGTGGAGGAAACGATAATCGATTTAAGACTAAAGAATTATGTGAAAATTTATGTATTCGTTCCAAACATGAAGGTAAGACATTTTGGTATATCTATTATATAATATTTTTACGTTTTGACATCTGTAGATAATACACTATATTTAAGGTTAATCCCAACATCAATCGCTTTATGTCTTGCTGATCCATTACTGATTTTTCCAGAGATTGTTAAATAAATTGAATAAATTGAAAATGTTAAAGTTTTTGTACCCTAGGTAAATATCGGGAACAAGCATTATTCCAAAGCGTTTCATTTCAGAAAAATTGGTACATTGGTTTTAAATACTGTACAGCTCAGTGTGTCGAAGGCCACTAAGCTAATTTTATTCACCTTTTTATTTTATAAAAAGTTATTTTGATCTATACCAAACTCATGACCTAAGTATTTATTAGGTATTAGGTATTCCATTTCTGTATTCTTCTTATTCATTCTCTTCTTTCTAATGTTGGTCTTTCTCTATTTCTTCTATTCCTTTCAACATAGTTTAAGGCCTGTTTTGCTCATCGTTTGTCTTCCATTCGCATTAGATGTCTGTACCAAAAATGTTTTATTCTTCATATATTAAAAAGTGGGTGAAAAATATTTATTAGATATCAAGTCTGATATGTGGGATTTCCTTACTGCCGCTAAGATGGATGTAGAGCCTACCATGTGTGACAGGGTCAACCGCAATCCCCGCCGGGGCAAGAACCTACCCACTAAAACCTTCCGTCCTCTCAACCGCTTCTGTGATCTGCGAGTGCAGGCCGGGATTCACCTATACCTAGGGTGACCATATGTACTTTTTTTAGTAGGACAGTACTTTCTTTTCAAACGCTGTCCTATTGTACTTTAAAATTTATGAAGTACACCTAAATGTACTCTTTTTCTTAATTACACAAAATAAAGTCCTACTTTTTGTCCAAACAAAATACAATTATAGTTCGAATTGATTCAAGAATCGATCTTTTGCGGAAGAATCAGAATCTCCTATCTTTAGCAGCAATCGATCGGCGCAGGAGTTACTTGTGACTCTCGTCGCTGCGTCATCGTCTAGTTTAGTTTATTACCGATACGCCCATCTTCCTCCCATTACTGTCGATTTCATTTCGCAGCAAGATCTCATTATCTTGTTTATTTTAGTAAAAATATATATCTCGTGGTATGTTTATGTTTATTTGTTACTTGTGCGCTCACTGTTGATTAGTCTATTAACCTTTTGTCTTAAATTTCGGCAGTTTTTCTCGTTTTTTATATTATTTTGTGCTGTGTGGAAAAACAAACAATTTCATCATGTCATCAAAGTATCCTTTTATGAAACAAAAATCAAATGTTTCACCGCATATTGTGATTTGCCAAATTTGTAAAAGTGATGTTGATAACAGTGGTCGCAGTAATATCAAACAACATTTGTAAAAGAAAAAACACATGTTGGCTAGTAATGCGAACTCGAAGAGCAGCAAATTGAAAACCTTTGTTAAAAGAAAAATTTAAGTTCTGAAAATATGTTGATTGCTGCTAAGAAAGGTACTTTTGCTTACCATACAATTAAGCATTTGCAAAGTTTCAGATCCTCAGACTGCACGTCAAAACTTATTGTAAGCATGTTTGAACCTAAATTTGCGGCAGTTCGAACCAAGACTAAGGCGATTGTAAAAAATGTTTTAGCTCAAGAGGCTCAATCTCAATTAGAAATTGACCTTCGAAAAGCAAATTTCGTCAGCATCACAATCGATTCGTCGCATCATAGAGAAATTAAAGTTGTGCCCTTAATGGTAAGATATTTTGATTAAGAAAATGGTGTCCAAGTAAAATTACTTCAGCTACGTGACTTACCTGGTGAAGCATCAGAGCAGTTAAAAGATTACGTGGTCAATGTTTTGAATTACCATAATCTACTACAAAAATGCATCGTAACGTCTGCTGATAATACGAATACAAATTTTGGTGGAATGAGAAGAAAAGGAGTGAACAATCTATCCAGCAAATTAAATGCTTCTCGTGGTAAACCCGTGATTGGAATTGGTTGTGTGGCACACATTTTTAATAACTGTTTACAAAATGCAACGGACGTCTTACCCATAGACATCGAGGTTATTGCGGTCAAGATTTTTAAGTATTTCTATATTTTTACAGTCAGAGTGGAGAAACTGAAGCAGTTTTGCGATTTTGTTGATATCGAGTACAAAAAAATGTTGTCGTTTTCAAAAACAAGATTTTTGAGCCTATTGTCAGCGATTGAACGAATTATACAAATGTTCGAACCCTTGAAAGCATATTTTTTATCGATTGATAATTGTCCAACAGTTATAAAACAGTTTTTTCAAAATCCAATCAGTGAAGCATAGATGTGGTTTGTGCATAACATTGCGTCTCTTTTCCACAAAGTGATTTTAGATGTAGAAGGTGACAAAATATACGCAACGGAAGCCACTTTGAAGTATTTCCAACTCATAAACAAGCTTCAAAATCGCTTAAATGAGTTATTTTTAACGCTTAAAGAAAGAGAGTCACTTTCAAAACTTGAAAATATGGAAGACCTTGACCTTAGTGTAAACTATCGGGATATCTTTATCACGTATGCAAAGCAGTTCTATTTAAATTGTGTAACATATTTGAAAAACTGGAGTGAAAATTTAAGTGAACTTAAAGCTATTCGGATGGGTTAACTTGAAAAAACTTGGGATTTCATCCCAAGTTTCTTGGGATGAAATTTTATCGTCATGTAAGGCTTTTAAAGACTACATAGGTCCGATATTGAATCAGGACGAACTGTTTGATGAAGTTAGTCCAATACGGACCTACGTTACAGAAGATAAAATCGCAGACTGGAATTCGAAAAATATTTCTACCGAAGATCTTCCAAAACAAAAGTGCTTTGAAAAATCGCAAAATTCTATGTGAGTTTGTTTTTTGTCTGCCTGGGATCAGTGCGTCGATTTAGCGGTTGTTCTCAATTATCAATAACTATTGGAGTCCCAACAAACCGCAGTTGAAAATATCTACTCTGGAAACCATCATGCAAGTCTACACAAACTTCAAAATTTCGTGCAATGAAATATTTCAGTTCTTAAAGAGTAAACCACAACTTCTGAAGGAAATTCATAGTTCCAAAAAGAACAACTGGTACCAAAAAGATGATCAAGGTGTTCAGGAAGAAACGTCGAAAGAAAATTAACTATTAAAATTTATCATACATTTTTTATGTACGTATATTTGATTAAACAAAATCGTTCTTATCATTGTTTCATTACATATTCGTAAAATTTGACCAAAAAAATTTCCTAGGGCACTAGGAGTGTACATATTTTCTTAAAAATTATAAATGTACTTTTTTTTTGTTGAAAAATTATGGTCACCCTATCTATACCATAAAAGTTGTTTGGATTCTATTGTATCTACTGTATTGAAAACTCTCCTGCTCTTCTTCTTATTACTTCATTTTCAAAGTGGTCAAATCTGGATATCCGACAGGCTTTTCTTAGATATTCTATTTTTACCACTTCATTGTTTTTTCTTCTAGTTCATCGTCATTTTCCAACATTCGTATCCGTACGTCCAAATTGGTTCTACAATCGACTTGTAGATTGTCATTTTTGTTCGTAAACTAATTTTAGGAAACCAAACTAATGAGTTTAGTATTTGTATCGCATTTTGGCACTATTGTATTTCTGCTGAATGTCCCGTTTAGATGTTCCTTTCTTCGATACCACTATTCTTATGTATTTAAATTCTTCACATTCCTTTATATCTTTTCTCGAGAGTTATTATTACTATTATTATTATTAAATATAAGCAGGGGCAGAAGGACAAGTGCCTATTATGCCCAAAAACAAAGAAATTTCATTAGTAACCCACTGGTAAATTAAAAAATTACAAAACAAAGTAACAAAATGACAATTTTTGGTTTAAAATAAAAACAATATTTTAATTATAATATGAAAGGCTTAAGTCCGTTTTTATACAAATTGACAAAGGGAGCAGAGACAATGTTATCATTAAGGTTATTCCAGCACTTGAAAACTCTGTTTGGTAGAAAGTTCTGTCTTGATCTTGTAGAATTAGTTTAAAATGATGACTTCTGAGGCGTGGTAAACATTACATCTAGATTTCCAAAATTGAATTTTAATATTTTAAATGTTATAGTTAACTTCCACGTTGTTGGCAAAGTTCAAAAGAAGTTAGGTTAGCCATACTAAGTCTTTCTGTATAAGAAATTTTTCTCGGTCCCAAAGGAATTCGAGTGGCTTTTCTTTAAACGTTTTAACAAAGTCTTGTCTCGAATCAAATCAGGATACCACGTTGGTCCAGCGTATTCAAGTATTGATTTTACGTAAAGAGTGTAAAGTTTACAAAATAACTGAACTGAAACTCTTGAAAACACCTCCGAACAAGATATAGTCTGAAGTTCGCACGTTTACAAACAGAGGTACTATGGTCGAACCAAGTTAGGCTGCTGTTTAGGATAACACATAGGTCGTTATACGAGAACACCAAATCTAATGGCTGCCCGTTAACAAAGTACGACACAAGTGGGTTATTTTTACCAATTCAAAGCACTACATACTGGGAACACCAGTGTGAAACAAGTGAAAATAGAGTGTAAGTCTATTTGGAGGATTAGCTGGTTTGTGATTGGATTGGCATATATTTTTGTGTCATCAGCGTAAGCGACATTTTACTTGAAACATAATAAGAAACATCGCTGGTATAAACCGCAAAAAGCAGAGGTCCACGGAGAGAACCCTGAGGCACTCCACTTTCCAGTAACCTGTCCTGTGAGAAAGATTCGCCAACTCTAACTTTGTAATGTAGATCTGTCGGGAAATCATCTATTCTCGAATGACTTCGAGAGATGAAATCTGCTTTTCATCATTAATAAGCAATAGATCTAAAGTAGAGGGTTGGTTATTAATTCTAAATCTAATAGGTATCAGGTTTCAATTTACTACAAAGCTTTTAAATAAATTATGAGCGATTTTGGCGTCAGATAATGAAGTTATTGGCTAGGTGATCTTTGGGAAATTAAAATGTGCAGTAATGAAGGGTTAA